CGCCGTGCGTCCCGCGCCTGAGTCCCCCGCCCGCCGGGCGCAGAGCGCACGCCTGGACTTCCCGGCCGCGGCCCGACCGCGCACGCGCGAGGTCCCCACCCCTGCGGCAACCATCACGTGACGCGGGCCCGGGAAGCCGGCGGCGCGTGAACAAAGCACCCGCGGCCTTCCACTTCCGGCGCCTGCCTGCAAGGCCAGCTGACCGCGACCCGCCCGGCCCGGCCACCCGGTTCCCGTCCCCTCGCCGCGGGGAGGCCGCGCCCGCGCCCGCGTGTCCGCACCTGCAGCAGAAGCTTGACCCGCTCGATCGGGGCCACGGCCGTCTTGGAGATGGCGGCGGCGATGCCTCCGGCCAGGAAGTCCTTGGCGAAGGAGATGGCCTGTTCCGTCATGGTGGCGGGGCGGGCAGCGGAGCGGTCGGACAGCCGGAGAGCGGGCGCGGAGAGTGAAGGGAGGGTGCCGCTGGATCAGCCCTGCCGCCGCCGGGACCGAAAGGACGGGGTTGCTAGCGCGCAGCCGCTAAGGCGCCGACGCCACGCCCACTTCCCCGCCCCGCGCCCCCGCGCGCCACGCTCATTGGCTGCGTCGCCAGGCCACGCCCCTTCGTCCGCCTGCGTGCCTCGCCCTCGAGGGCTGCCGGGTACCGCGCCGCGCCCCGCCCCGCGCACTAGCGCACGGCGACGATTGGCTGAGCTCCCCGGCGACGCCCCGCCACGCACCGCGAGGTATGCCGGGAGCCCGGCCCCGCCCATGCGCCGTAAGGGCCGGGGTGGGGTTGTGGGGGCGTCCGCGGCAATCTTGACCTTGTGAAGGTCACGGCGTTGCCAGGGCCCGAGTGGCCGGGCGGGCGTCTGCAGAGTCAGGAGCTCATCCAGATCGAGGTGCCTTCCGACAGCGACGTCCGCTTTCTCCCGGAGGCCGCGGCGAGTCCGCCGGGACGCGCGACACGTGGTGCCCCGATCCCCGACCTTTGACCCCTGACCCCCAGGCGGCTGCGACACCCCCCCCCACCCCGTTCGCCGTCTCCAGGGTGGCGCGTCGGGAGACCCTGCCGCGGCTCGGTCCGGCCGCCGACCCGGGACCCGGCGACCGGCGGGTGCGAGGATGGGTCCCTAGGCCTCTGACCTTTGACCCCACGGTGCCCTCCGCGCCCGGCCTGGGGGTTCCCGGGCCGCGCCCACGTGCCCGGGGCAGCCGCCGTCTCCCCGTGTCTGCCCGGCGGGGTGTGCGGCGGAGCGTCCGCGTTCCCGGTGTCCCCATCCGTCTTCCTCCCTCCCCCGCAGCCCCCCCTCCTCCCCCCCCTCCCCCTCCTCCCCCCCCTCCCCTCCTTTCTCTTTCTCCCCTGGTTTTCTTTTCGGCTCCCTCCTTCTTTCCTCCGTCCGTCCTGTCCTCTATTTTTGTTTTCTTTTTTTTTTTTTTTTAGAGACGGCGTTTCACCACCGTGTAGGCCAGGCTGGTCTCGAACTGCTGACCTGGGTGACGCTTTCCTCTCTGCGTCTTCGCTTTTTCTCCCTCTTTCCATCTCTCCCTCGCGCCTTTTCTTCCTCCGTCTCCTTTTCGTCTTTCTTTCATTTCCTATCTCCTTCATTTCTTTCTTTTTTTTTAAGATTTCACCAGTGTTGGTCAGGCTGGTCTTGAACTGCCGACGTCAGGTGATCCCCCCGCCTTGGGCTCCGAAGTGCTCGGTGAACCCTGAGCGCAGCGTCGCCGGGAGCCCTGCCTGAGGCCTGTCCCGACCTCTGCGGAGGGCGCTGGGGGCCGGGGCTGCGGGCTGCCGCCGGCTCTGGGTGCTGCATCGGGGAGACGCTGGCCGAGAAGTCACTGAGCTTGTCATCCCGGCACTTTGGGAGGCCGAGGGAGGCGGGCGGGTCACGAGATCGAGACCATCCTGGCCAACACGGTGAGACCCGGTGTCTACTGAAAAAATACAAAAATCAGCTGGGCATGGTGGCGCTCACCTGTAGTCCCAGCTACTGGGGAGACTGAGGCAGAACTGCTTGAGCCCGGGAAGCGGAGGTTGCAGTGACCCAAGATCGTGCCACTGCACTCCAGCCTGGGCGCCTGAGCAAGACGGTCTCCAAAAAAAAAAAAAAAAAAAAAAAAAAAAAAAAACAAGTCACTGAGCCATGGAAAGGTCTGACCTCCGGTGGAGACCAAGCGCATTCCTGACGCTCTGCCAGAGCACCATGTTGGACAGGGTCCCCCTAGGACCTGGACCGAGCCAGGCTCCCTGCAGGGGCCCTGGCATAGGGCACAGAGGCCGGGCGGGGGTGGGGAGTTGGCTGAGGCCCGAGTCTCTGCCCCTGGTCATTTCCAGGCAGCGCCCAGGGAGCCGGAGCTGCTGTTTCCAGGTGAGGCTGGTTCCCCGCAGGTGCCCTGGCCGGGGCTGCAGGCCTGCGCCCTGGAACCTGCTGTGCCAAGTCTGCAAAGCCTGTCTTAGAAGAGAGAAGTTTCCTTCTGTGCGGGTGGGGATCGCTAACAGTGTCCAGAGGCTGAGACGGCCGGGGCTGTGCTGTCTGCGGGCTCTGCTCAAGCGCGGCTCAGAGCCAGGACGCTGCCTGGGTGCTTGGACATTGCACCCAGGATGCGCTCGGCAGATGCTTCTGGAATGGATGAATGAATTGCTAACTGGGGTGAATGAATGCATGAATTGCTCTCTGGGATGAAAAGGAATCACTAACTGGGATGCATGAATGAATGGCTAACTGGCGTGACTATGAATGAATGAATCGCTAAGTGAGATGAATGAATGGCTAACTTGAATGAATGAAAGAATCGGTAACGGGGATGAGAGTGAATTGCTAACTAGATTGAATGAATTGCTAAATAGAAGTGATGGATGAATGAACGCTAACTAGGAGAGATCGATGAATTAATGAATCACTAACTGGCATGACTGAATTGCTAAAAGGGAGGAATGAGTGAGTTGCTAACTGGGATGAATAAATGAATTGCTACTGGGGTGACTGAACCGCTACCTGGATTAATGAATGAATTGCTAACTGGGAGGCATGCATGCATGAATGAATGGCTAACGGATGAATGAATGAATCACTAACAGGAGGGGCGGATGAATTAATGGCTAACTGGAGTGAATGAACGAACCGGTACCTGGGATGAATGAGTGAGTTGCTAACTGGGAGCAATGAATGCATCGCTAACTGGGAGGGAGGAATGAGTGAATGAATGAGTGGTCGCTAATCGGGGCTGCCCGTGGACTTAGCCTTGGATACTCGTGCGTTTTCCCTTCGTATCTGGGAGGTAACACCACACGCTCCGTGAGCCTCAACAGCGCCTGACCTGGGAGGTCTCTGGGGCCACCTGCTCCCGAACGCGGGGACACGGCCTCCCTGGAAAAGGAGGGTCCAGGCGGGCCTGGCACGCAGGGATTGGGAATGGGAGACGCCACCTGCTGCGGAGTGGGGGCAGGGCTGTGTGTGTCACCGCCCTTCCCCTCCGAGGGCAGACGAATGAGCCCCCACCCGCCTGCCGGGCACCCGGCCACGAGGTCCCTTCTCTGCCAGCCTCTGAGGAAATGACCCGTGGGCTTCAGAGATCACAGCTGCCTGATCTCTTAGGTGCCCTCGTGGAATCTGTCCTGACAGCCCCTTGCGGGGCAGAAAAGTGTGTGGGTTCATAAAGACGCAGAGGTGGTTTCTATGTTTCTTGTTTTTTTGAGATGGAGTCTCGCTCTGTTGCCCAACCTGGACTGCAGTGACGTGATCTCGGCTCACGGCACTCTCTGCCTTCTGGGTTCAAGCCTCCCCCGAAGAACCAGAATTACAGGTTTCTGCCACCACGCTTGGCTGATTTTTGTCTTTTTAGGAGAGACAGGGTTTCGCCACGTTGCCCACGCTGGTCTCGAACTCGTGACCTCAGAGCATCCGACCACCTCAGCCTACCCAAGTGCTGGGATTACAGGCGTGAGCCACTGTGCCCGGCCAGAATCTCTGTGCTGATATATTTGAGACGTTATCTGGGTGTCTAACCCCTTGCGACTGTTTTCTACAGGAGACGTACGCCGGCGGGAAACGTCTTTAAGCGCAGGGGGCCTATTTCAAGTTCCTGGATGGACACGTGGCTGTGGTTTTTTTTCTTTTTTTTTTTAAGACGCGGTTTCACCACGTTGCTCTGGCTGGTCTTGAACCCCAGACCTCAGGTGATCCGCCCGCCTTGCCTCCAAAGTGCTTGGATGACAGGCGTGAGCTTCAGTTGTCACACATGGGCTCGGTAACCCCCAAGTCAAGCCGCTCCCCTTACAGTCGCCTGACGTCACGAAAAGAATGTGTACGTTGTTTCTGTGCTTTAAGGAGACAGGGAAGACAGGCCCAGGGAGGCGGCTCCCAGGGCTGTGGGAGGCCGAGGTGGGCGCTCACTGAGGTCGGGAGTTTGAGACCAGCCTGGCCAACGCGGTGAAACCCCATGTGTAGTAAAAATACAGACAAGAGCCCGGTGTGGTGGCACACGCCTGTCATCCCAGCGACTCGGGAGGCTGAGGCAGGACCATCGCTTGAACCCGGGCGGCGGAGGGTGCGGTGAGCCCCGATCCTGTCACTGCGCTCCAGCCTGGGCGTCAAGAGTGAAAGTCCACCTCAAAATAAAAAAGGCGCGTCTCAGCCCCGCGGCCGGGGCCACAGGGAGTCCCACTGAGGAGCGAGGGCAGCACGTCCGGGCAGGTGGAAGCTGCCGGACACCGGCCGCCCCACGGCCCCTGGGCGTTCAGGGGTGAGCGGCGGCGAGGCCATCTTGTCCCGTGGAGGAAACACCCTGGAAACCGTGGGGAAGATGCAGGCAGGAGGGCAGAGGCGGGCCGCGGGGAGGCAGGAGAAAGCCCTGTGCCCACCGCCCGCCCCGGGGTCCACGCCGGCCGCTCTGCAAGGCCGCTGGCTCCCAGGATGTCTCCTGGGCTGAAGGGTCGCCCCCGGCTTCCCTCCGTTCCCTCCTCCCCAGACGCAGCCTCTTCCCTCAGGGACACCCCCCACCCCCAGAGGAGCCACACACACGCTTTCACCTTCTTTATTCACCAAGACGGCACGTTCCTGTGGGGCTTTGCTGGGGCGGCCGGGCATGGCGCGGCCCCTGCAGCCTGCAGGAGGGTGGCCCTATCATGAGCACGCTGCCTGGGCCTCAGGGAGCCACTCTGGTGGCCAGCATGGCATCCAGGATGCCGCGCAGGTGTGCCACCTGCACCTGGCGGAAGCCGTGTGGCTCCAGCAAGCGCCGATACTCGCTCGGGCTCCGCTCCCGGCCCCCCGTCTGCACCAGCATGTTCAGCGACTGCATCAGGCCGACCCGCGCCTCCCTCTTCTCCTCGTCCAGGAGCATCTCCACCAGCAGCAGGCCGGCCCCTGCGGGGAGAGCAGAGAGCTGGAGTCCTGGCCAGCCAGGCAGCCTTCCGTCAGGGGCCAGCAGGGCACACAGCGGGCCACCAGACGTCAGAACAGTGAACACAGGCTGCCGAGAAGCCCTGCCCGGGAGACCCACGCAACTAGGGGAGCGGAGAGAGACGGGGACTCCATGCAGGGCGGACAGATAAGATCGAGAGGTGGCGGGCTGGCTGGATGCATCGCCAGGGCCTCTTCCCATTCTCCTGGATGGAAGGATGGATGGATGGAGGGATGGATGGATGGTGGATGAGGGGTAGAGAGGTTGGTAGAAAGATGCGTGGATGGTGGATGGATGGATGGATGAGTGAACAGATGGTGGATAATACATAGGTGGGTGGGTTGATGGATGGATGGGTAAGGATGGAGGGGTGAATACATGGTAGATGATGAATGGATGGATGCATGGGTGAGGATGGAGGGGTGGATAGCTGGTAGATGATGGATGGATGCATGGGTCAGAAGGATGCAGTGGTGAATAGATGATGGACGGATGGATGGAGGGGTGAATAGCTGGTAGGTGATGGGTACAAGGACGGATGGATAGATAGGCTAGAGGACGATGGATAGGTAATAAGTGAGGGACAGAAGACAGATAAGTGACAGATGATCGCTACAAGGTCAGACACGGTGGCTCACGCCTGCCATGGTAGCATTTCGGGAGGCTAAGGCGGGAGGCTGGTTTGAGCCCAGGAGTTTCAAACCCACCTGAGCAACTTAGTGAGAGAGACCCTGTCTCCGTTTTATTTATTTTTTTTTTAAAGAGGATGACAGATGCTAGATGTATAAAGAGAGACAGAGACGGGGTGGGGAGAGGGAGGAAGAGACAGAGATGAGGAAGGAGAGCAGGAGGCGGAAAGATGAGAAACAAACACATTGATGATAAATGTGACACAGAAAAACAGGAGGAGAGAGAGGAAGAAAGTAAGTCAGGGTGCACTGGGTCACGTCTTTAACCCCAGTGCTTTGGGCGGCTGAGGCGGGAGGATCGCTTGAGCCCAGGAGTTTGAGAGTAGCCTGGGCAACGTAGCAAGACCCCATCTCTACAAAAAACAAAAATGTTTTAAACTACCAGGGCCTGGTGACATAGGTCTGTACTCTCAGCGACTCGGGAGGCTGAGGTGGGAGCATTGCTTGAACTCAGGAGGTGAAGGCGGGAGGGAGTTATGATGACAGACGGTCCTCCAGGCTGGGTGACAGAGCGAGACTCCCATCACCACAAAAAAAGTTTTCTTTTTGAGACGGAGTCTCGTTCTGTCGCCCGGGCTGGAGTACGGTGGCGAGACCTCAGCGCACTGCAACCTCTGCTCCCGGATTCAAGCCAATTCTCCTGCCTCGGCCTCCCTGGGATTACAGGCTCCCCCCACCACCCCCAGCTAATTTTTTATATTTTTAGTGAAGACGCGGTTTTACCGTGTTAGCCAGGATGGTCTCGATCTCCTGATCTCGTGATGCACCCGACTCGGCTTCCCAAAGTGCTGGGGTTACAGGCGTGAGCCACGGCCCCAGGCCACAAAAAAACTTTTTTTCTTTGAAACGAAGTCTTGCTCTTGTCACCCAGGCTGGGATGCAGTGGTGTGACCTCAGGTGACTGTAACCTCCGTCTCCTGGGTCAGGTGATTCTCCTGCCTCAGCCTCTTGAGTAGCTGGGACTACCGGTGCCCGCCACCACGTCCGGCTACTTTTTTTTTTTTTTTTTTGTATTTTTTTGTAGAGACTGGGTTTCACCATGCTGGCCAGGCTGGTCTCGAACTCCCGACCTCAGGCGACTCCCCCCACTTTGTCCTCCCAAAGTGCTGGGATTACCGGTGTGAATCACGGTGCCCAGCCACACACACACACACAAAAACGTTTTTAAAAATTAGCTAGGGGCCGGGCGCGGTGGCTCACGCCTGTCATCCCAGCACTTTGGGAGGCCGAGGCGGGTGGATCACGAGGTCAAGAGATCGAGACCATCCCAGTCAACATGGTGAAACCCCGTCTCTACTAAAAATAGGAAAAATTAGCCGGGCATGGTGGCACGTGCCTGTAATCCCAGCTACTCAGGAGGCTGAGGCAGGAGAATTGCCTGAACCCAGGAGGCGGAGGTTGCGGTGAGCCGAGATCGCGCCATTGCACTCCAGCCTGGGTAACAAGAGCGAAACTCCGTCTCAAAAAAAAAAAAAAAAAATTAGCTAGGCGTGGTGATGCATGGGTGGAGTCCCAGCTACTCCGGAGGCTGAGGTGGGGAGAGCTTGTCTGAAAAAAATACGTAAGCAGATAGATACGGCTGGGCGCAGTGGCTCACGCCTGTAATCCGAGCACTTTGGGAGGCGGAGGTAGGTGGGTCACCTGAGGTCGGGAGTTTGAGACCAGCCTGGCCAACGTGGTGAAAACCTCTCTAAAAGAAGAAAAACAAACAAACAAACAAAAAGGCAAACATTAGCCGGGTGTGGTGGCTCACGCCTGTTATCCCGGCTCTTTGGGAAGCTGAGGCAGGCAGATCACGAGGTCAGCAATTCCAGGTCAGCCTGGGTAGCACGGTGAAACCTTATCCATACTAAAAATACAACTAGCCCGGCGGGATGGCGCAGGCCTGAGATCCCAGCAGTTGAGGAGGCTGAGGCGGGAGAACTGCTGGGACCCGGGAGGCGGAGGCTGCAGTGAGCCGAGATCGCACCACTGCACCCCAGCCGGGGTGACAGAGCGAGACGCCGTCTCAAGAAAAACGGAGAGTCATCGATACACAGAGAGAGAGACGGGGGTGGAGGCCCCTGAGCAGCTGAGCCTGTGGGGAGTCCGTTTCAACCCCCACGAAGGGAGGCTCCGGCCCTGGCTGTGTTAGGCTCATCAAGCGTTTTCTCTGCAAATATTAGAGGCATTTTCACTGCAGCTGCAACGTTCAGCTCTGAGTCCAGGAACGGAGCCCGAGCGCCTGCGAGATTCCCTCAGGGCCGGCTCGCGTCCCTGTGGACATCTGAGGCGTGGACGTCGCCGGACCCCTGAGCTTGGGGCTCCTGCAGCCCCACCCGCTCCAGGAGCAGCCTGGGTGCTCGGCGAGACACGTGGTGTGAAGGCTTTGAGCTGAGATGCTGTGTGGGTGCCCGTGCGGAAACACGTTCGTCACAGCGGACCCTCGACTAACATGGATTTACACTGCAGGGTCCACGGATGCAGGGGTTTCCCTGTGTCGGCAACCCCGAGACGGCAGGACCCACGCCCGCTTCGTCCTCCTCCGCAGCCTCCTCAACGGGAAGACGGCCACAATGGAGATGTTTGAGGCCGGGCGCGGTGGCTCACAGCACTTTGGGAGGCTGAGGCGGGTGGGTCACGAGGTCAGGAGTTCGAGACCAGCCCGGCCAACGTGATGAAACCCCGTCTCTACTAAAAATTCACAAATTGCCTGGGCGTGGTGGCGCGTCCCTGAAATCCCAGCTACTCGGGAGGCTGAGGCTGGAGCATCGCTTGAACCCGGGAGGCGGAGGTTGCGGTGAGCTGGGATCCTGCCACTGTATTCCAGCCCGGGAGACAGAGCAGGACTCCATCTCGAAAATAAATCAATAAATAAAAGACGTTTGCGATGACCCACTTCCACTTCACGAATACTAAACAAACTTTGTCTTCCTTAGGATTTTTCTTTCCCGCAGACGGAGCCTCGCTCTGTCGCCCGGGCTGGAGTGCGGTGGCGTGGTCTCTGCTCACTGCAACCTCCGCCTCCCGGGTTCTAGAGATCCTCCTGCCTCGGCCTCCCAAGTAGCTGGGACTACAGGCTCTCGCCATCACACCTGGCGAACTTTTTTCAGTAGACGGCATTTTGCCACGTAGGCCAGGCTGGTCTTGAACTCCTGACCTCGGGTGATGCACCCACGTTGACCTCCGAAAGCGATGTGTGTGTGCGCGCGGCTGGCTCAGACGAACAGGTAGCTCGGCAGGCTTTGGCTTTTTTTGTGATACGGTCACACTCCTTCGCCGAGGCTGCACTGCACGGGCACGGGCACAGGTCTCTGCAGCCTCAAGCTCCCAGGGTGAAGCCAGCGTCCCACCTTGGCCTCCCCCCGTGTGGGGACGACGGGCCTACACTGGCCCACTTCACTTTGAGATTTTTTCGATTTTTAATTTTTGAGATGGAGTTTTGCTCTTGGTGCCCAGGCTGGCCTGCGGCGGCGCCATCTCGACTCACTGCAGCCTCCGCCTCCCGGGTTCAGGCGATCCTCCTGCCTCAGCCTCCTGAGCTGCTGGTATTACAGGCTTCCGCCATCACGCCCGGCTCATTTTGTATTTTTAGTAGAGACGGGGTTTCATCATGTTGGCCGGGCTGGTCTCGAACTCCTGACCTCAGGAGATCCGCCCGCCTCGGCCTCCCAAAGTGCTGGGTGACAGGTGTGAGCCACCGCGCCTGGCCTCCTGTGGAAACTTGAACCAGAAACGCGACGCGCTCACGAACGCGAACCTGACGACGGTTTCTCACCTGGCTTGCACCTCTGGGCGATGCTGCCGAGTATCTGGTGGACCTTCTCATCCGCCCAGTCGTGCAGGATCTGGCAGAGCACGTACAGGTCTGCGGGGGGGAGGGGGTCCCGGAAAAAGTCACCTGGTTTCAAGACAGAAGGTGATGCGTCCGTCAGGTGTGGGACAGGTATCCTTTTTTTTTTTTTTTTTGATGGGAGTCTCGCTCTGTTGCCCAGGCTGGAGTGCCGTGGCGTGATCTTGGCTCAGTGCAACCTCCGCCTCCCGGGTTCAAGCGACTCTCCTGTGTCACCCTCCTGAGTACCTGGGATTACAGGCGCCCGCCACCACGCCCGGCTAACTTCTTTCAGAATAGATGGAGTTTCACCGTGTTGACCACACTGGTCGCAAACTCCTGACCCTCTGGTCCACCCGCCTCGGCCTCACAAAGTGCTGGGATGACACGGGTGAGTCACAAAGCCATCATGCTGTCACAGATGCTGGGACAGCCACCCGTGTCCCAAATCAGGCAGGGAGAAGCGACAGGCGTGGGTGGGATTGGGTGTCCCCGGGGAATATCCCCGTGGGGACTTGAACGGAGCGCCGTGAAGAGCTGCTTAGTGACGTCCCACCCGGGTGATTTGACTCCGGCAGGGAAAAGGTCAGCCGTGGTGGCTCAGCCCTGTGACCTCCGCACCTTGGGATCGTCTCACGTCAGGTGTTCGAGACCAGCCTGGGCAGCATGGCGAAACCCCGCATCTAATCGCCACTAAAAATAGCAGTCAGCCGGGCGTGCTGGCGGGTGCCTGACGTTCTAGCTACTCGGGAAGTGGAGGCAGAACAAGTGCCTGAACCCGGGAGGCGCAGGTTGCAGGGGGCCTACACTGCCCCACTGCACTCCCGCCTGGCTGACAAAAAAATCGCAATAAAAAAACGGCAGGAAATTCAGGGCTGTCGCCCGGGCAACGCAGGCAGGGTCAGCATGAAGCGCCTTCTCTGTCTGCCAGGGGGAGTCCGGTTTTCGCGGGCAATTCCGCGATTCAGGCGCGCGGGGAGGGCTGCGTGCAGGGGGTGTATGCAGCCGCACGGCGCTCTGTAACTGTGCAAATAACAAGACGGTCTGCTGCAGTGCAGTGAACGGTCTCCGTTGCATTGGAGGCCGGGCGCGGTGGCTCACGCCTGTCATCCCAGCACGTTGGGAGGCCCAGGTGGGTGGATCACCTGCGCTCAGGGGTTCGACACCCGCCCGGCCAACGCGGTGAAACCCCGTCTCTGCTAAAAAAGCAGAACCTCGCTGGGTGTGGTGGTGTGTGCTGTCATCCCAGCGACCCGGGAGGCTGAGGCGGGACGATCGCTTGCACCCTGGAAGTGGAGGTTGCAGCGAGCCGAGACGGCGGCACTGCGCTCCAGCCCGGGCGGCAGAGGGAGACGCCGTCTCAAAATCAAGAAGAAAACCAGATACTTGGACGCAGTGGCTCACGCTTGTATTCCCCGTATTTTCGGAGGCCGAGCTGGGTGGCTCACCTGAGGTCAGGAGTTCAAGACCAGCCTGGCCGACATGGTGAAACCCCATCTCTACTAAAAATACAAAATATTACCTAGGGGCCTGTAGTTCCAGCTGCTCGGGAAGATGAGGCAAGAGAATCGTTCGAACCTGGGAGGTGGAGGTTGCGGTGAGCCGAGATTGCACCATGTGACTTAAGCCTGGGTGACAGAGCAAGAGTCTGTCTCAAAAAATAAAACAAGTAAAATAAACTTTAGCATTTCTGTTTCTCCTGCAGGACGAGCTGTCGGGTGATTGTGTTGTGTGTGTGTTTTGCGATGGAGACTCACTCTGTTGCCCAGGCTGGAGTGCAGTGGCGTGATCTCGGCTCACTGCAACCTCCAAGTCCCGGGTTCAAGCGATCCTCCTGCCTCAGCCTCCCAAGTAGGTGGGATCACAGGTGCGTGCCACCACGCCCGGCTCATTTTTGTATTTTTAGTAGAGACGGCGTTTCATCGTGTTGGCCGGGCTGGTCTCGAACTCCCGACCTCAGGTGATCCACCTGCCTCAGCCTCCCAAAGTGCTGGGATCACCGGTGTGAGCCACGGCGCCCGGCCAGTTGTGTTTCTTTAAAAAGTAGAAAGCTACCCAGAAACCTTGGGGGGAAGAGGGGCATGGAGGTGCCCGCAGGCCTGGCCGTCGTCGGACACTGGCGAGTTACAGAGCATGAGGCGTCTCCGCTCCACCCGTGCCTCTGTGGCCGCCACCTGGAAGTTCTCCTCTCAGTCTAACCTGGGGCCGTCCCGTCGCAGCTGTTGCGTGGTTTCCTTCCGTGGCCTCGGTGCCGTGGACGCCTGTGGTCATGGAGGCCAGCTGCTCCCCACCTCCCGTCCCTCCTGACTGCCTGGACCCAGGACAGCTTCACACAGACACCCAGCTGCTGGTTCTTTTGTCTGTGTTTTCTAGGATGATGATGATGTTCTTTACTGGAGATGGAGTTTCCCTCTTGCTGCCCAAGCTGGAGAGCAGTGGTCCGATCTCGGCTCACCACGACCTCCACCTCCCTCCCGGGTTCAAGTGATTCTCCGCCTCAGCCTCCCGAGTAGCCGGGATTTCAGGTGGTGGCCGCTAAGCCTGGCTGATTTCTTTCTATTTTTAGTAGAGACGGGTGTTGATCATCTTGGCCAGGCTGGTTTTGAACTCCAGACCTCGTGATCCACCCGCCTCGGCCTCCCAAAGTGCTGGGATGAGACGGTGACCCACTGCGCCCGGCGTGTTTATCATCATTATTAGTGTGTCATTTATTTATTGTCTTCGAGATGGAGTTTCGCTCTTGTTGCCCAGGCTGGAGAGCAGTGGTCCGATCTCAGCTCACCGCGACCTCCGCCTCCCTGGTTCAAGTGATTCTCCTGCCTCAGCCTCCCGAGTAGCTGGGATTTCAGGCGCCCGCCACCACCCCTGGCTAATTTTTTTGTATTCTTATTTTTAAGATGGGGTTTCACCATGTTGCTCAGGCTGGTCTTGAACTCCCGACCTCAGGTGATTCGCCCGCCTCAGCCTCCCAAAGGAATGGGATGGCAGGCGTGAGCCACCGCACCTGGCTACGTGTACCTGTTTAGAGATGCGCTCGTGTCTGTGTGTACCCACACACACCCATCCACAGGCATACCCACGGACGCAGACAGACACACAGGCATGCACACGTATACCCACACACAGGCACCGACGCACACAGTCACAGACACACATGCAAACACACGCCACAAACAGGCACCCACTGACACGCACGGACACGCACAGATACACCCACACAGGCACATGCAGACGCAGACACATGCCCAGATGGTCGCACACAGACACGGACACACAGAGACTCGCTGACAGGCACCCACACGCAGACAGGTGCAGGCACACAAACACACAGACATGCACACAGATGCAGACACACAGGCGCACACACACACACACAGAGCAGTCACATATGCACAGACACCCACAGACACACACCATGTATACAGACGCAGACACACACACAGGCACACACACACACACACACACACAGAGCAGTCACATATGCACAGACACCCACAGACACACACCATGCACACAGACGCAGACACACACACACAGCGCAGCCGTCCCATATACAGACATTCACAGACACACACCATGCACACAGACGCAGACACACACACAGGCACACACACACACACACATATGCAGCAGTCACACATGCTCACACACCATGCACACAGACGCAGACACAGACACACAGCGCAGCCGTCCCATATACAGACATTCACAGACACACAGCATGCACACAGACGCAGACACACACACAGGCACACACACACACACATATGCAGCAGTCACACATGCTCACACACCATGCACACAGACGCAGACACACACACACAGCGCAGCCGTCCCATATACAGACATTCACAGACACACACCATGCACACAGCCGCAGACACACACACAGGCACACACACACACACATATGCAGCAGTCACACATGCTCACACATCATGCACACAGACGCAGACACACACACACAGCGCAGCCGTCCCATATACAGACATTCACAGACACACACCATGCACACAGACGCAGACACACACACAGGCACACACACACACACGTAGCAGTCACACATGCTCACACACCATGCACACTGACACAGACACACACACAGACAGACACACACACACATAGAAGAGCAGTCACATATGGACAGAGACCCACAGACACACAACATGCACACAGACGCAGACACACACACAGGCACACACACACACGTAGCAGTCACACATGCTCACACACCATGCACACTGACACACACACACAGGCACACACACACAGCGCAGCCATCACATACGCACAGACACCCACAGACACAGGCACACAGACATGCACACATACACCCGCAGAGATGCATGCACACACACAGACACCCTCACAGACACATACGCAACCACCAGACACCACAGAGACACGCCAGGCACACACACGTGTGCAGACGCAGACACAGACACACAGAGACAGTCTCACGGACAGACACAGGTCGTACCACAGAGACACACGCACGCACACAAACACGCACACACACCACACACACGAGCACATGCCACAGAGACACGCACACACGCAGAAACACAGACACACAAGCACAGCAGAGTCAGCTACGCACACACACGCAGAGACGCACCCCGCAGACAGGCTCACGCGGAAACACGCGTGCACACACGCAGCCCCGCGTGCCCTCTGGAAGGCGGGCAGGCAGCGGGGCAAACGCGAGAAGCCTCACCGGCGGCGAATCGGATCTGAGCCGCCTGCGGCCCGGCGGGGCGGAAGTGTGCGGCCAGCTCGATGACTTCGGGGAGGTCGAACACGGTCACCTGCAGACGCGGGTACTCCCGGGCCAGCTCCTGGGCCAGCGCGCCCGTGCAGCCTGCGGGGGAGCAAACACGTGCTGTGCGGCCGGGTCCTCCCGGCGCCGGCGGAACCCTGACGACCCTCCAACGCTCAAGCAAGGAGAAGTCACGTTCACGCGATGGCCGGTGCCACAGCAGCCATTCTGGGGCACGTGTGGGCACACAGACTTGCAGGGAAATCCTTCCGGCCCAGCGGTGGGGGTCGGTCCTCCTCCCTTCTCCTTCCTGCCGTGGGGGTGCCGACACCATGGCCGGGCGCAGTGCCTCACGCCTGCCATCCCAGCACTTTGGGAGGCCGAGGCGGGTGGATCACAAAGTCGAGACATCGAGGCCAGCCTGCCCAAAAATCAGCCTGTCGTGGTGGCGGGTGCCTGGGATCCCAGCTACTCGGGAGGCTGAGGCAGGACAATGGCTTGAACCCGGGAGGTGGAGGTAGCACTGAGCCGAGATCACACCACGGCAGTCCAGCCTGGGCGACAGAGCGAGACTCAGCCTCCGCCTCCCGGGTTCCGCGATTCTCCTGCCTCCGCCTCCCGAGTTGCCAGGATTACAGGCACCTGCCACCACGCCCGGCTGATTTTTATATTTTTAGTAGACACGGGGTTGCTCCATGTTGACCAGGATGGTCTCGAACTCCCGACCTCAACTGATCCTCCCGCCCCGGCCTCCCAAAGGGATGACAGGCCTGAGCTGCCGCGCCCGGCTAATGCCTGCAGCTTCATAAAGACAAAGGCACGCGCGGAGTCCTGGCGGGGTTGGGGGGGGGTCGTACCCACCTCCCACGTCGCAGGCGGAGGAGAAGCCAGACAGGTCGAAGGCGGCGGGCACGTGCCGCGCAGACAGCTTGGTCAGGCCGTGCATGGCTCGCATGAACTGCAGCCGCGCCTCGGGGCTCCGGTAGAGCACGTCCTGGAACAGAGCGGGGGCTCAGGGGCGCCAGGGCGCACGGGCCGGGGGCTCGCCCAGCCTGTCCCCAGGCGGAAAACACGCAGGCCCCGGCGCCTGGGCTGCAGAGGGGGCTTCGCGGCACAGCGGCGTGGGGCACCCTTCTGTGGCAAGGCTGGGGACAGTGGACCCCCAAGTGGGGGGCGATCTCCTTGGAATGACTGCGTCCACACCACGGCCTGACCTCCTACTACCATCCGAGTTTCCCAGACAAGGAGGCTTTTCACCCTGGAGGCTCCGGGCCAGCCACGGACATCTCAGCGTGGAAAACCCGGGACAGGGAAGCAGAGCGGGGTCCTCCCAGACAGAGAGTAGGGTCCCGATAGCTGCCCCAGGTCCCATGCTGGCACCCACCCCGGCCACAGAGGAACCCGGGTCAGGCCTGGGCACAGCTGCCTTCACGGCTCCCAGCCTGGACTTGCCTTGTGGCCCTGGGGCAAGGAAGCCCTGCCCAGCCTGCTCCTGAGCCTGGCTCCTGGGGGCAGCCCCTCCACCCTGGCTCCCCAAATCCCTCGGGGCCTCCGCGGCTCTCCCCGGGCGGGCGGCAGCCACGGGGTCAGGACATCTCGGGCTGGATGCTCACTCGGGCTCGGGGCCCGTCTGCACCTGTCCGCTTCTCTCTCCACCGCTGGCTTCTGTCTCTGCCTCTGTGTCCCTCTATGTGTCTCTGTCTCTGTTCTCCTATCTCTCCGTCTCCTTCTGTCTCTCTGCCTCTGTCTCTGTCCCTCCAAGCCTCCCTGTCTCTGCCTCCCTGTCTGTCGCTCCGCTTTTGACAGACACAGGAACACAGAGAGACAGAGGATCTACAGCCTGTCTGCAGGGGAGCACGATCTCAGCTCACCGCAACCTCCGCCTCCCGGGTTCAAGCGATTCTCCAGCCTCAGCCTCCCGAATAGGTGGAATCACAGGCGCCTGCCACCACGCCGGGCTGATTCGTTGTATTTTTGGTAGAGGTGGGGTTTCACCGTGTTGGCCAGGCCGGTCTCTAACTCCTGACCTCAGGTGATCATCCCACCTTGGTCTCTCATGCCACCATGCCCGTCCTAATCAATCTTTAATTGTTTTTATAGAGACGGGGTCTCACTGTGTTGGCCAGGCTGGTGTCTAACTCCTGGGCTCAAACCAGCCTCCCAACTTGGCCTCCAAAAGTGCAGGGATTACAGGTGTCAGTTCCGACGTACGGCCTCCAGACCCCTTTCTGGGAGGACGTTCTGGTTTCTTATTTATTTTTTTTCAGATGAAGTTTTGCTGTTGTGCCCCAGACCGAAGTACAGTGGCGTGATCTCGGCTCACTACAACCTCCGCCTCCCGGGTTCAAGCGATTCTCCCGCCTCGGCCTCCTGGGTCGCTGGAATTACAGGCGCCCACCACCACGCCCGGGTAATTTTTTGTATTTTTAGCCAAGACAGGGTTTCACTGTGTTGGTCGGGCTGGTGTTGAACTCCTGACCTCGTGATCCACCCACCTCAGCCCCTCCCAAAGTACTGGGATTGCAGACGGGAGCCCCCGCGCCCGGCCACTGGCGATTCTGTTTTCAGCTGCCGCGGCGTGACAGTGCAGCGGAGCTACCTGGGACCTGTTCTGGAGGTGAGCGAGGGCACAGCCACAGCACCGAGGCTTCGGGATCTGCCAGCCTGGAGGCCGACGGAGCCAGCCGCCCGCGCCGCCGTGCGCACCAATGTGCCTCGGCAGGACGCACGCCCGGCGGGAAGGCTCGCCCTACCTGGAATACATCTCCCGCCGTCTCTCCCAGCAGGCTGACGTTCTGGTTGGTTCCGTCTCGGACGGCGACCTCCAGGTGCGTAAAGAGGTTCCAGGTGACCTCGCTGCTGTACGCGACATAGCCGTGCAGAGAGTAGGCACCGTCCGACGCCAGGTAGACGTCTGCTGCCTCTGTGTTACTGTACCCTGAAGAAACAGGATGCTGTGTGACCTCAGAGCAAGAAAGCCCGAGGAGGCCGGCTGCGGGGGCTCGGGCGGTCACCCAGCACTGTGGGAGGCCAAGGCGGGCAGATCACGAGGTCGGGAGTTGGAGACCACCCTGACCAACATGGAGAAACCCCGTCTCCACTAAAAATAACAAAAATTAGCCGGGCATGGTGGCAGGCGCCTCACATGCCAGGTACTCGGAAGGCGGAGGCAGGAGAATCACTTGAACCCGGGAGGTAGAGGTTGCAGTGAGTGGAGATCATGCCACTGCCCTCCAGCCCGGGCGACAGAGTGAGACTCTGTCTAAACAATAAATAAGTCGATCTCCTAGGTTACATCCTAGGGGTTCTGTTGCTGTGGAGCACCCTGAGTGATACAGGGAAGTTCTTCCTTCCACCCACTTCATGCGCAGGTCAGCTGTCCGCAGACGCAGCCCCAAGCTCCGTGCCAGGATGCCCCTCCCACAGAATGAGAGGCTGGAGGGCAGAGGATCCGTCAGTGGAGACCCGTACGTGTAAACAGACGGCCTGGCACCCCTCTGGTTCTGCGGGGTCAGAAGCGGCCCTGGGTTCACGTGGACCAGGAAAGGTGACCGTTTCTGCGGCAGCCCATGCAGACCACACCTGCTCCTAGAGGGCCAGTGCACAAAGCCTTTCTCCATATTCATCTGATTTCCCTCCTTCCCTCCCTCCCTCCCTTCTCTCTCTCTCTCTTTTCTGACAGTGTTTGGCTCTTGTTGCCCACGCTGGAGTGCAGTGGCACGATCTTGGCTCACTGCAACCTTCCCCTCCTGCATGCAAGTGATTCTGCCTCAGCCTCCCAAGTACCTGGGACTACAGGCACGTGCCACCACCCCTGGCTAATTTCGTATTGTTAGTAGAGATGGAGTTTTGTCATGTTGGTCAGGCTGGTCTCGAACTCCTGATACCACGTAATCCACCCAGCTCGGCTTCCGAAAGTGCTGGGATTACAGGCGTGAGCCATCATGATTTTCAGGACGTGAGAATGGCAGTGAACTCCTCTAGCTGGGAAAACGTTTGGCTTCCTACGCTCCAGACTCTTAACGATATAGTCATGGGTCTCTGTGGCAAGGGCGCAGCCTCGGGGGCCTCCACTTCTGCATGTTTTGTGTCCTCATCTGCTCGGGCGTCATCTGTCCTCATGCCCTTCCCAAGCTACTCGAGGACGTGGCCATGTGCCCTCTGTTCTAGCATCGTGCTGAAGGGTTCTGTTCAATTCAGAAAACACATCATCCATCCATCCATCCACCCACTCATCCACCCACCCATGCGCTTACAGACACACCCACCCATCAGCCAATGCACCCATCCATCCATTCCCCACCCATCCACCCACCTACCCACCCACCCACTCATCCATCCATTCCCCCACCCAACTACCAATCCACTGATAACATGTATTTATTCTCCCTCCCATGCACCCAGCCATCCACCCAGCCATTCATCCATCCACCCACCCACCTATCCACCCATCCATCCATCCATGCATCCAATTATGCACTGTCCCACCCATCCATCCATCCATCCATCCATCCGTCCATCCAATTATGCACTGTCCCACCCACCCATCCATCCATCCATCCATCCATCCAATTATGCACCATCCCACCCATCCATCCATCCAGCCATGCATCCATCCATCCATCCATATCCATCCATTCCCCCACCCATCCAATCACCCATCCACCTATCCACCCATCCAATTATGCACCCTGCCATCCATCCATCCAGCCACCCACCCACTCACCCATCCATTCCCTCACACAACTACCCATCCACCGATCCACTGATACATCTATTCATCCACCCTCTCATCCATCCATCCGTTCACCCACCCTCCCAATCACCCATCCATCCACCATCCATCCATCCATGCACCCACCCTCCCAATCACCCATCCATCCATCCACCATCCACGCACTCATCCATCCATTCCATCACCCAACAACCCATCCACCAATCCACTGATACATCTGTTCATCCACCCTCTCACCCATCCACCATCCATCCATCCATTCACCCAGCCTCCCTCCCAATCACTCATCCATCCCTCCATCCATCCACCCATCCATGCACCCACCCTCCCAATCACCCATCCATCCATCCATCTGTTCACCCAGCGTCCCTCCCAATCACCTATCCATCCATCCACCATCCACGCACTCATCCATCCATTCCATCACCCAACAACCCATCCACCAATCCACTGATATATCTATTCATCCACCCTCATCCATCCACCATCCATCCATCCATCTACCCAGCCTCCCTCCCAATCACTCATCCATCCCTCCATCCATCCACCCATCCATGCACCCACCCTCCCAATCACCCATCCATCCATCCGTTCACCCACCCTCCCTCCCAATCACTCATCCATGCATCCACCTACCCACCCACTGATCCATCCATTCCCTCACCCAACCCATCCACCGATCCACTGATTTATCTATTCATCCACCCTGTCATCCATCCATGCATCCACTCATCCACCCACCCACCCACCGACCCATCCATCCATCCAGCCACCCATCCATGCACCCATCCACCGATTCAGCAATCCAACCATTCTCTATCCACCCTCCCATTTATCTATCCATCCATTTACCCATGCACCCACCCATTCACTGATCTACCCATCCATCCACCTTCCTATCCATCCATTTATTCAGCTACCATCATCTATCCATCCATCCATCCATCCATCCATCCATCCATGTATATATCTATCAGCTCTACTTGTCATCTATGTACCTATCCCTATCATCCGTCTGTATCGAAGCATCTATGCATCTATCTGTCTAACCACCCATCCACGTTATCTGTCTATAAACATAAGCAAGCAACCAGACGTGTCTCTGTCCCAGTGCTGGGTTCTTTGTCGGGAGGACACCGACTGATCCACCCCCTTGGAGACCAGACCCTATAGGAACCTGCATTTCTCCCGCGTCCTCGCAGCCCTGCTGTTCCCTCTCTCTCATCCACCCTCTGCTTCTCATCCTTGCAGGAATAGCAGCCATCCTGAGGGCAGAGAGGGGACAGAAGGTCTGGCCCCCCTTCCTCACCCTGGAGCCTGGGCTCCAGGTCACCGTCCCACCGTGACTGACTTCCACCTGCCGAGATTCTCAGGGCGAAACCCCAAGTCAGAGTCTCGTTACCTTGCTCTGACTTCTCCAGGAGCCGCAGGGCTGCGCAGGCGTCCAGAAGCCTCTCCGTGCCGCACACAGAGGCATCCACTTTGGGGGCAATGTCCGCGGCCTTCTGGGGAGCTCCGTCTTTTAACAGATCGAACACCTTCAGCTTGCAGGCGGTGAACAGGGCCTGCCCGTTAAACACAGGTGCGGGAGGGCTCAGTGAGTCACCGCCCACGCCCTTTTTCCTCCCACACACCGTCCACGAGACCGTGGAGACCAACGGTGTCAAAAGCGTTTCCAGTGCGCGCCGAGCTTTCTCTGAGACAGAGCACTCGGGATCTACAGGATCGAGTCCCCAGCTACAGCAAGGCGTGAAAGCACGTCAACGAATGTCACCTGGGAAAAGCAGCCCACGGGAGGAAAATCAGCATGCTACACGTATGGGCCAAGTCCAACACCCGTGCGTTGAACCCCTAATCCCCCGGGGACCTCAGGATGGGACTCTACTTGTAGGCAGGTTTTTTTTAATTTTAAAAAAAATATATATATTTTTTTTAGACAGAATCTCGCTCTGTGGCCCAAGCTGGACTGCAATGGCATGATCTCAGCTCACCGCAACCTCCACCTCCCAGGCTCAAGCGATTCTCCTGACCCAGCCTCCTGAGTAGCTGGGACTACAGGCGCGCGCCACCACACCCGGCTAATGTTTGTGTTAGCAGAGACGGGGTTTCACCACGTTGGCCAGGATGGTCTCGAACTCCTGACCTCAGGTGATCTGCCCACCTCAGCCTCCCAAAGTGCTGGGGTGACAGGTGTGAGCCACTGCGCCGGGCCTGTAAGCATGGTTTCAAAGAGATGATGAAGGTAAAAAGAGGTCATTTGGGTGGACCAGATCCAGTGTGACTCTGGGGTGCTTATAGGAAGAGGAGGTGAGGACACACACACACAGACACACACAGACACACACACAGGGACGACGCAGTGAGGACAAGGGAGGAGACGGCACCTCACAGCCCAGGAGAGAGGCCTCAGGGGCAGCCAGCCCTGCCCACACCTGGATCTCAGACCTCCCGCCTCCAGGACTCTGGGGGAATCAACATCTGCTGTTCAAAAACCTCCCAGTGGCTTATAAATTATAATATATAATTATAAATTACGTAATTTGTATCTCTTCTTCTTACAAGGACCTCTGTCCTATTGGATTTGGTCCGCTCACATGACCTCACTTTACCTTAATTATACATTATGTGATTATATATAAATATATTATTAGTTACATAATTATATATTTAACATATATTCTAATATATTAATTACATAATTATAAGTTACATAATCACATATTTATAAATTATATAAATATACATAATTATGTTATATAATCGTATATTTATATAATCATAATTACTAAATTATATAAATTATGTGAATTATATAACCAAATCATGTATTACATAAATTATGACTTGTATACATTATACAAGTCATATAATTATATAACTTACTATATAATTATACTGTTATATAAATTATATAATCGTTACATAATTACATAAACTATATAACTTGTTATATAATTATGTAACTTATGTTATATAACTTACATGTTATATAAGTTATATAATATATAACTTGTGTTATAGTTTGTTATAATTACATAAACTATATAACTTGTTATGTAATTACAACATATATTTGTTTATATAATTATATAACTTATGTAATATTTGTTATATGACTTATATTTATGTAATATAACTTGTTATAATTATATAACATGTTACATAGTTTATGTAATATAAATTAAATGTTATATAATCACATAAACTATAACTTATGTTATATAGTTATATATAGTTATAACTTATAAGTTATATAGTTTATGTAATTATGTAACTATTATGTTATATAATCATGTAAGTTATATAGTTTATGTAATTATGTAACTATTGTTATATAATCATATAACATGTAAGTTATATGATTATATAACATTTATATAATTCATCTTATATAATTTATGTAATTATATAATGTGATTATAATCATACAATTGTATAATAAATTATAACTATATATTTTAAATTATAATTTATTTGTTCTTCTTAAATAAGGATTTCTAATTTGATAATTTAAATACATAATTTCATAATACACTCGTCAGGATGACTTCATTCATCAGCCACCCGGTATTGACTTAACAGTCAGCACCTGGTCCGTTAGAGACACGGAGACGGGGCGTGCCGTGACCACCGTTCCTCCCTTGTCACTGCACGTTCTCTGTGCTGCTCACGAGTGGTGGCAGGTGGCCATCGGCCGGGCTCCCTGCCCCCCGCAGCCTGCGCCCCCCGCCCGCCCTTGGCATCCCGTCTGCTTCCCGGAGGATGCCCTGAGGGACCCCTGGTCCTGGGAGGGCTCCGTCCCTTCTCCGTCTGCTCTGCCGCCGTGAGGGGCCCCCAGGAGCCCAGACCCGCATAACAGTTAAAAGATGGGGCCTCAGGCCGGGTGCGGTGGCTCACACCTGCAACCCCAGCACTTCAGGAGCCTGAGGCAGGTGGATCACCTGAGGTCAGGAGTTCGAGAGCAGCCCGACCAACATGGTGGAACCCCACCTCTACTAAAAATGCAGAAGTTATCCGGCCGTGGTGGTGGGCGGCTGTAGTCCCAGCTATTTGGGAGGCTGAGGCAGGAGAATCGCTTGAACCCGGGAGGCGGAGGTTGCAGTGAGCTGAGATGGAGTCACTATACTCCAGCCTGGGTGACGGTTTTTGTGAAATAAAAAAAGAAAGACGGGCCCTCTCGGGGAAGAGGAGGGCATTGGAGCTCCGCTGCCTGCAGGCTGTAGGACCTGGTGGGAAGCCACTGCCCACCGAGCTCTGGGCAGAGAAGGCGGAGACCGTCCACGTGGAGGGGCTCTGCTGGTTCGGTACCCCGTGTGGCCACGGTGACCTACGGACATCTCAGGGACCGGCTGCCCACACCGGCGGGAGGGCTGCCCTGGGGTAACAGCATCAGCGGGGATGAGGGCACTAACCCCGACCCGCGGTACCCTCCAGGCGCCAGGTCCACCTCCCGCCTGGCCAGCGGGACTTCTGGACCGGTGAAGGCCCACACGTCCCAGGCATGGCAGCCTGGCTGACCCCGCGGGAGGAAGGCCCATTGGGGAATTCTCACATGTGCCATGTGGGGGTCATGTGAGTCCTTCCCGGCTTCAAAAGCACGCTGGACCCCGTGCCAGCCTGGCACAGACCCAGGATGGTCCATGCTTGCCAGCTACTCCCCAAAAGATGCAACCGCACCCTAACCCCCACTACCGGGGAACGGCTTTTTTTTTTTTTTTTTAAACAGAGCCTTGCTCTGTCGCCCAGGCTGGAGTGCAGTGGTACAATCTTGGCTCACTGCAACCTCCGCCTCCCGGGTTCAAGTGATTCTCCTGCCTCAGCCTCCCCAGTAGCTGGGATTACAGGCATGCACCATGCCCAGCTAATTTTTGTAGTTTTAGCAGAGATGGGGTTTCACTATGTCGGCCAGGATGGTCTCCATCTCTTGACCTTCTGATCTGGCCACGTCGGCCTCCCAAACGGCTGGGATGACAGTTGTGAGCCACCGCGCCTGGCTGGGATCTTATTTGAAAATAAAAGGGTCTTTGTGAGCTAGGGGACCTGAGATGAGTCGGAGTCAGTGGATTAGGGAGACCTCCCTGTAAGAGACAGAGCGGGAGATGCAGGCACAGAGCAGGAGGCCGTGTGGAGACGGAGGCGGAGGCTGCAGTGATGGGGCCACAAGTCCAGGGAAGCGGGAGCCCCCGGGAGCTGAGAGAGGCGGAAGGACCCTCCCCTGGACCCTCCAGAGGGAACTGGATACACGTGGAGTTGACTGAACTGGTCCTCCCGAAAGATTGGTCCACATCCTGATCCCCAGAATCTGTGAATTTTAACACAGAGCCCTTGTTTTCAAGAGGGGTATTGGCCGGGCGCGGTGGCTCAAACCTGTCATCCTAGCACTTTGGGAGGCCGAGGTGGATGGATCACCTGAGGTCAGAAGTTCAAGACCAGCCTGGCCATCATGGTGAAACCCCATCTTAAAAAAAAAAAAAAGAGAGGGGTCTTTGCGGATGGAGTTAAGAAAGATGATCGTGGAGAAGCGTGGCCCCTAAATGCAATGACAGGTGACTTTCTAAGAGACAGAAGAGAAGACGCAGACCCAGATGAGAAGGCCACGTGCGGGCCCAGGCAGAGGTTGCAGTGATGGGGCCACAAACCCAGGGGTGCTGGAGGCCCCAGGAGCTGCAGAGACAGGCAGGAGCCTCCCCGGGAGCCTCCAGAGAAAGTGTGCCCGAGACACCTTCACCGCACACTGCCACCCTTCAGGACTCTGACGACAGGACTCCTGTGGCTTTAAGCCCGGTATGTGCTCATTTGGGACAGTGGCCCGAGGAGGCAGACACAGGTACCTTCGACGTTTTGAAGCCATTGATGAGTTTCAGGAGGCGTGTGGGGAACGGAGGCAGGGTCTCGGGGGTCCCGTTCCCCTCAGCCTCCGCTGGGGCCGCTCCGGCCACTCCAGCCTCGGCTTTCTGTGGGCGGCTGCCGGCGTCCCCCCGAGCGGGCTCTGGGCCGCCCTCGTCCACGTCGCTGAGGTCTTCGAAGGTGTCCACGGCCGGGATGGAGTCGTGCTCGGCGCGCCGCGGGTCGTCGGGCCGGGGCGGGCAGTACAGCTGCATCAGCTGCTTGCAGAAGCGGTTCAGCGGGAAGCCCACGACATTCAGGAAGTCGCCGTGCACCGCCTCCACCAGCATCCCGCCGAGAGCCTGGATCCCGTAGCCGCCCGCCTTGTCCCTGGCGGGGGCAGGGGAAGGGAAGAGGTGACAACCAGGAGAAACGTCTCCCCTGCTTAGATACGCCGCAGCCACCAGGGCCGGGCGCGGTGGCTCACGCCTGTCAGCCCAGCTGTGAAGGCTGAGGTCGGAGGGACACCTGAGGTCATGAGTTCGAGACCAGCCTGGCCAACATGGAGAAACCCCATCTCTGGTAAAAATACAAAGATTGGCCGGGCATGGTGGCTCATGCCTGTGGTCCCAGCGACTCCAGAGGCAGACGCAGGACAATCTCTTGATCCCGGGAGGCGGAGGTTACAGTGAGCCCAGACTGCACCACTGCGCTGCAGCCTGGGTGACAGAACGAGACTCGGTCTCAAAAAATAATAATAAAAATTAACAATAGGCCGGGCCCAGGGGCTCAGGCCTCTCAACCCAGCACTGTGGGAGGCCGAGGCGGGAGGATCACCTGAGGTCGCCAGTTCAAGGCCAGCCTGGCCAACATGGAGAAATCCTCTCTCTACTAAAAATGCAAACATTGGTCGGGCGCGGTGGCTCAAGCCTGTCATCCCAGCACTTTGGGAGGCCGAGGCAGGTGGATCACGAGGTCAAGAGATCGAGACCATCCTGGTCAACATGGTGAAACCCCGTCTCTACTAAAAATACAAAAAAAATTAGCTGGGCATGGTGGCACGTGCCTGTAATCCCAGCTACTCAGGAGGCTGAGGCAGGAGAATTGCCTGAACCCAGGAGGCGGAGGCTGCGGTGAGCCGAGATCGCGCCATTGCACTCCAGGTTGGGCAACAAGAGCGAAACTCCGTCTCAAAAAAAAAAAAAAAAAAAAATGCAAACATTAGCCGGGCATGGTGGCGGGCACCTGTAATTCCAGATACTCAGGAGGCTGAGGCAGGAGAGTCGCGTGAACCCGGGAGGCGCAGGTTGCAGTGAGCCCAGATCGCACCACTGCGCTCCAGCCTCAGAAACAAGCATGAGATTCCGCCAAAAAAAAACCAACAACAAGAAAAACCCCACACCAGGGCTGCCCTCCACTTTGAGCAGTGAGGCCAGAGGACCAAGAGAACCAGGCGCGTCTTCCCTGGCTGGCTTCATATACGGACAGTTCAGCGCTGGGCAGAGGCTCTTTTCTCTCTGTTTAAAAAAATACTTTTTTTTTTCCACTTTTATTGTTATTTTTTGAGGTGGAGTCTCGCTCTGTCGCCCAGGCTGGAGTGCACTGGCCTGATCTGTAACCTCCGACTCCAGGTTCAAGCGATTCTCCTCCCTCAGCCTCCCGAGTAGCTGGCACTACAGGCACCGGCCACCACGCCTGGTTAATTTTGTTTTTACTTTTAGTAGAGTCGGGGTTTCACCGTGTTTGTCAGGCTGGTCTCAGACTCCCGGCCTCAAGTGATCCACCTGCCTTGGCCTCCCAAACTGCTGGGATGACAGGCATGAGCCACTGTGCCCACTCTATTTTTTATTGTTATTATTTTTTGAGACAGTCTCACTCTATGGCCCAGGCTGCAGTGCAGTGGTGCAATGTCGGCTCACTGCAACCTCTGCCTCCCGGGAGCATCAAGAGATGCTCTTGCCCCTGCCTCTGGTGTGGCTGGGATTACAGGTGCCCGCCACCACACCAGCTAATCTCTGAATTTTTAGTAGAGACGGGGTTTCTCCGTGTCAGCCAGGCTGGTCTCGAACTCCTGACCTCAGGTGATCCGCCCACCGTGGCCTCCCAAAGTGCTGGGATAACAGGTTTGAGCCACCTCACCCGGCCCAGACTTAAATGCTACCTTTGACCAAATGCATCTGTTTTATGTTGCATATAAGTGAGATCCGGTGGTATCTGTCTTCGCTACCCAGCTGATTTCAGCGGAGATAGCATCCTCTGGGTTAACAGACAGATATATTGCGCGGACTCCATCGCAACAAAACTAACACTGAAGTCGGCCCTGTGTGGTGGAGTGCGTGCCTGTGGTCCCAACTCCTCAGGAGGTTGAGGTGGGAGGATCGCTTGAGCCCAGGACTTCAAGACCACCCCGGGCAACGTAGTGAGACCCCATCGCTACAAAAAATAACAAAATTAGCCAGCTGTGGTGGTGTGCACCTGTAGTCCCAGCCACTCGGGAGGCTGAGGTGTGTCATTTCAGCTTGAGAGGCTGAGCTACGACTGTGCCACTGCACTCCACCCTGGGAGACAGAGCGAGACCCTCTCTCCAAAAATCAATATATAAAATTATTTCTCTATATTTTATATATATCATAAACATGTTTTATGCAAATATATTTGCATACATGTTTATATAAATACCTTTTTATATATTTTTATAATATAAAAATAGATTTTACTTTATAAATTATATATTTCTATAGCACATTATATATATTTATATAATATATATGTAATATATGCATAATTACCTATATTACACTTAATATATAATTAGTCTGCATATAATTACACATATTTAATATGCACTAATTACCATGTAATTAAGATATTATAATTACGTATACATCAAATTATGTATTCATGCTACATATAATTCTATATTATATAAGTATATATAATTATATATTAACTTAGTAATATATGAGATATATAATTATATAATCTATCATAGTATCATATAATCTATTTTTTACAAGTATATTAATATATAGTATATAATACTTTTATAAGTATTGTTATATACTGTATTAATCTATTATAATAGTATCTAATTATATGATTAGTTGATGTCAATTAAAACTAATCATTAAACATTAATATTAATATTGATTAATATTAAGCATTAATCAAAATTATGACGGATATATCTATAATAAAATCTATTATATGTAATATATTTATACATATTGCAGTATAATCTGTAATATGTTATAATATACACATTAAATCATGCATATATATTAATATGTACTAATATGTAGTCATACGTTAACGCAGTTAACATATCACACACAATGCACTGCATAATGTATAATATATAAATCATCCGACTGTAAATACAGTTCTGTTACGTGACGTCATGTGTCATCACAGACACACTGCATGCTGTGTGCTGCAGGTAACACTGGCACACGTCCCTCTGCCACACAGCCTCGGGCTCAGCCCCGTGGGGGCAGGTAGGGGCCTCCTCCTCTCCTAAGGCTGGCTGCGGCCCCACATGTGAGGCGTGGCAGGCCTGCGCCTGCCGGCGCCCCCCGTGCCCCGAGACTCACATGGGCTCCCCGCTGTGGATGTATTCCCACAGCAGGTCCGCCGACAGCTCCGAGAACTTCACCATCGTTTCCTCATAGAATTCCGAGACCCTGGTGTCCAGCTGGTTGTCTGCAAGGACAGGGCGGTGGCGTGAGTGTGGGTGCCAGCCTGTCACCCGCAGGGCTGTGGCGTGCGGTTTATCTGAGCGCAGCGCACAGTTCAGACATGGAGGTTCGCGGTGGAAAAGGTTGCATTTCAGACAAGAAAAGAGTGTGACATACAAAAGTCCCTTTCTAAAGTGTCCTTTCTTGTTGAAGAATAACTGTGCTCATAACTCCGTGCGGCCCCGTCCTCTACAGCTGTGAGACCCGCCGTGCTCACAGGCACGTGGAACATTCCGTGTCCCTGGACTGTCCCCGAGACACCTGCGCCGGACGTGCTCACAGGCGTGTCCCCGCTCTCCGTGGCTGTCACCTGTTCAGAAACGTTTTCAGGTGCCGGCCGGTCGGGTGTGAGTTTAGATGCTGAGGTCTGGCTGCGGCCCACGGAGCTCAGACACGGCAGGAAGGACGACCCCACACGCGTCAGGGATCCATGTGCGTGTTTTCCTTGGTTCACTGTCCTCTCGGGGCTCGATGGCCGGCGAGGGTCCCCTCCCTGCAGCCCAGGAGGTAACAATGGCGTTGCTGAGGGATCCTCCGTCTCGGGGCTGATCTTCCTTTGCAGCACTGAGCGTCTGTTTCCAACACAGAGAGGAGCCCATAAAATCACGGGGCGTCGGAGGAGGCTGAGTGCGACCCACACTCCAGCAGGGAGGGCACCGGTCTTCCGCGAAGCCTTGGCGTGAAAGTTTTGGGGTGAACACGAGGACTTCAGCAGTGGGGTGCAAAAGCCACAAGCACAGCACGAGCGGAGCTCGGGGTACCTGCGGGAGACTTCCCCGACCACCTGGTCTGGGTCCAAGGGGCTCCCCTCAAAATCCATGGCCACCTGGAACCTGGGAACGGGATCTTATTTTGAAATAGGAACTTTATGGATGCAATTAGGGAAAGAATCATAAAATGAAATTATCTTGGGTTCAGGGTCGGTCCTAAAGCCAGTGACAAGCGTCCCTAAGAGGCAAAAGAGGAGACACAGACACAGAGGACGAGGCCACGTGCAGACGGAGGCTGCAGTGATGGGGCCACAAGCCCAGGGATGCTGGAGCCCCCAGGAGCTGGGAGAAGCCGGAAGGATCGTCCCCTGCAGCCTCCAGAGCGAACTGGGTACGAAAATCTTCATAAAGATCAAAGAAAGCAAAAATGAACTGCATGGAGCAAACGAATAAAAGTCTGAAGTAATGTTTTTAACTTTTTACTTAAAACGTCAGTGACCGTTTGTCTTGTTTTCAAGAAAACTTTTTTTTTTTTTAACAGTTTCGCTCCTGTTGCCCAGGCTGGAGTGCAATGGCGCTATCTCGGCTCACTGCAACCTCCGCCTCCCGGGTTCATCCGATTCTCCTGCCTCAGCCTCCCCAGTAGGTGCGATTCAAGGCGTGCGCCACCACGCCTGGCTAATTTTTGTATTTTTAGTCGAGAGGGGGTTTCATCATATTGGTCAGGCTGGTCTCGAACTCCCGATCTGAGGTGATCAACCCGCCTCGGCCTCCCAAAGTGCTGAGATGCCAGGCGGGAGTCACCACGGCACCTGACCTAAAACTTTCGTTTTAAGCTATTAAAATCGCAGCTGCTCAGGAGGGTGAGGCGGGAGAATGTCTGGAACCCAGGAGCCGGAGGCTGCACCGAGCCAAGACTGCACCACTGCACTCCAGCCTGGGCGACCGCGTGAAACGCCATACCCGCAAAATGAATGAATGAATGAACTCACTGAGACCGGTCGGTGAGAGGGTCTCTGTGTTTCTGTGCACATACCCTGGAAAACAAACATAAAAGTTCAAGAGCCCTCTCGGACAAGGGAATCCGAAAGGAACGTAAAAAAGGAGTTCCGGGGCTGGGCGCGGGGCTCACGGCTGTCATCCCCGCACTGTGGGAGGCCGAGGCGGGTGGATCACAAGGTCAAGAGATCCGAGACCGTCCTGGTCAACACGGTGAAACCCCGTCTCTACTGAAATAAAAATTAGCTGCGCATGGTGGGGCGCGCCCGCTTCCCCCTCCCAAAACCAAAGACTGAAGCCCCGAAAGGAGTTAGGCCATGAGTCCCATGATGGGCAGCGGGCTGGGCAGCGGTGGCTGTACCCTCCCTCTGAGCTGAGGAACGGCTGAGCGGCATTAAGGTGACAGCGCAGATCCTGAGACGGAGAGAAGGGTCTCTGTGTGGTCAGCAGACGCCGCGTGCCGACAGGACTCTGCTGTGGCGTCACCGGAGCCGCCAGGCCCGGAAGCAATCACGGCATTTTACACCACGTGCTGGGAAATCATCCTGCAAAGCCCTCTCCTGGCTGAGAAGCTCGATTCTGCAGAGACGTTCCTTCCACTTGTCGGTCTTTTCTTTCTCGTTTTGAGACGGAGTCTTGTTCTTGCAGCCCCGCCGGAGTGCAGCGGCGCAATCTCGGCTCACTGCAGCCTCCGCCTCCCTGGTTCAAACAACTCTCCTGCCTCAGCCGGCCAAGCAGCTGGGATGACAGGCGACCACCACCGCGCCCGGCTAGGTTTTGTCTTTTTAGTGGAGACAGGGTTTCAGCATGTTGCCCAGGATGGTCTTGAACTCTTGACCTCCTGATCCACCCGCCTCGGCCTCCCTAAGTGCTGGGATCGCAGGCATGAGCTGCCGCGCCCGGCCTCTTCCGCATGTTTGTAAGACACGTTGCACATTTTCCCTTCCCTTGCACTCTTCCAAATCGGCAAACAACTTTGGCAGGCAAGCCGTAAGGTGAGGTCCCTCTGCGGGTGGGGGTGGGCAGCCGCCACCCTCCCTCACGGCCAGGGTCCCTCCAACGTCCCGGGTTCTTCCCTCGGCCGAGGCGGCCCCCCCCGATCCCCGGGCCGCGCTTACCTTGGCTGTAGCACTGGACGATGGCCACGCCTGTGAACACGCTGTGTTCTCTGCCACTCAACCTGTGAGACAGAAGCGGTGCCCTCGCTGTGACACGTGGCAGTCACAGCGCGGGCTTCCCAAAGCCAGAGACGCAGCGAGGTGGCCTCCGTCCCGGCCGCGGCCCCAGCCTCTTCTCCCGGCTCGGCCCGTCACGCTGTCACCAGGGGAACTACTGAGAAACGCTGGCAGTATGAGAAAATACACTCAACGCTGGGAGCAATGACGGCAAGGAAAGCCTGGCCACCCCCACCCGCACGCGGAAGACGGCCTGGCACATTCTCCAGTAGCAAAACCATCTATTGTATCACTCAGCATCTCTCAACAGCAAACCGGTACGGACAGGCAAGGGCTGGGGTCACAGATCCCACGGGCAGCGGCCCTGAGAGGAGCCCCAGGCTGGGCAGCTCTCCGTTGGGCCTGCTGTCCCAGGGTCGCCTCCATGTCCTGGGATGCGAGTGGAGGCCAGGCTGTGGGCTCAGGTCCAGGACGCCCTGTGGGGAGAACAGGGCACTGCCCACTTCTCCTGACCACAGCAGCCTGCAGCGGGCGGATCAGGGCTGAGAATCCCAGGAAACACAGGGCATGGAGGGACAGGGACTGCCTCACTGCAGAGCTCAGGGAGCAGAGAGCACACAGCACAGCTCCACAGCACAAAGCACACAGCAGAGCACACAGCACAGCTCACACAGCAGATCACACAGCAGATCACACAGCACAGCTCCACAGCACAGATCACACAGCAGATCACACAGCAGAGCACACAGCAGATCACACAGCACAGCTCACACAGCAGATCACAAAGCACAGCTCCACAGCACAGAGCACACAGCAGATCACACAGCAGATCACACAGCAGAGCACACAGCAGATCACACAGCACAGCTCACACAGCAGATCACAAAGCACAGCTCCACAGCACAGAGCACACAGCAGATCACACAGCAGATCACACAGCAGAGCACACAGCAGAGCACACAGCAGATCACACAGCAGATCACAAAGCACAGCTCCACAGCACAGAGCACACAGCAGATCACACAGCAGATCACACAGCAGATCACACAGCAGAGCACACAGCAGATCACACAGCACAGCTCACACAGCAGATCACACAGCAGAGCACACAGCACAGCTCCACAGCACAGCTCACACAGCACAGCTCACACAGCAGATCACACAGCACAGCTCCACAGCACAGAGCACACAGCAGATCACACAGCAGATCACACAGCACAGCTCACACAGCACAGATCACACAGCAGATGACACGGCACGGCTCACACGGCACAGCTCACACGGTACGGCTCACACGGCACGGCTCACACGGGAGACAGGCGGGACGCTGAGGCCGGCCCGCGGCCAGCGCGGCGCTTACTGTGACAGCATCCTGTAGGCGTCCTGCTTGTCCACCGGCTTCTCCAGGATCAGCCGCCCCATGGTCTGCGAGAGGAACAGGACGGAGGGAGTTGGCTCCCGCCGCGTGAGTCGGGTCTGCGCTAACCCCACTCAGCCACTCGCAGGAGTCCGTGGTTTTTCGGAAATGAAACTGACACAGGCTGAGTCACCATTTTTGACACCTAACTGCACTTACCACGTCCCGCCTGGTTCCAGAATGTACTCATCACGCCGGAAAGGGACCCTGTGCCCATGACGCTCTTCCCCTGCCCCCGGCCCCTGGTAACCACCGATCCTCTTTCTTTTGTGGACACTGCAGAGAGACTGAATCCTACAGCCGGCCGCGGTGCCTCACGCCAGTAATCCCAGCGCTTTGCGAGGCTGAGGCAGGTGGATCACGAGCTCAGGAGTTTGAGACCAGCCTGTCCAACATGGTGAAACCCCGTCTCTACTAAAAACTACAAAAATTAGCCAGGTGTGGTGGTGGGTGCCTGTAACCCCAGCTACTCAGAATGTCCAGCTAATTTTTTATATTTTCAGTAGAGATGGGGTTTCATCATGTTGGCCACACTGATCTCGAAAACCTGACCTCAGGTGAGCTGCCCTCTTCGGCCTCACAAAGCCCTGGGATGGACGACAGGCATGAGCCACTGCGCCCAGCCAACCTTGCTCCTTTTCATAGCTGCATAGTATTCCACCATGTGTGGACGTGATGTAATTACTTTGACCCACTCACGGACACCTGGGCTGTTTGTACCTTTTAGCTGTTGTGACTGTTGCTGCTGTGAACATTCACGTATAAGTTTTTGGGTGAACACCTGTTTGCTTGGTTTTTTTTTGGAGACAGAGTCTTGCTTTGTTTTTCTGTCAGCTCACTGCAACCTCTGCCTCCCGGTTCAAGAGATGCTTCTGCCTCAGCCTCCTAAGTAGCTGGGATGACAGGTGGGATTATTATCACGGCCAGGTATTTTTTTTTGTATTTTCAGTAGAGACAGGGTTTCACTATTTTGATCAGGCTGGTCTCGAACTTCTGACCTTGTGATCTGCCCACCTCGGCCTCTTGAAGTGCTGGGACGACAGGCGTGAGCCGCCGCGCCCGGCCTGAACCCCGCTTTTGAATCCTTTCGGGTACGTACTTAAGAGCAGACGGAGTCTGCTCAGACTGCCATGACAAAGTCCTACAACCCGGGTGGCTGAAAGTACAGACGCTGATTGTCCCGCAGTCCTGGAGGCTGGAGGTCTGAGATCCAGCTGTGGGCACGGCTGGGCCTCCTGAGGCCTCGCTCCTGGGCTTGGAGACGCCGTCTTCTCCCCGGGTCTCTGTGTGTGCGTCCTCACCTCCTCTTCTTCTTTTTTTTTTTTTGAGACGGAGTTTCGCTCTTGTTACCCAGGCTGGAGTGCAATGGCGCGATCTCGGCTCACTGCAACCTCCGCCTCCTGGGCTCAAGCCATTCTCCTGCCTCAGCCTCCTGAGTAGCTGGGATTACAGGCACGCGCCACCATGCCCAGCTAATTTTTTGTATTTTTAGTAGAGACGGGGTTTCACCATGTTGACCAGGATGGTCTCGATCTCTTGACCTCGTGATCCACCCGCCTCGGCCTCCCAAAGTGCTGGGATTACGGGCTTGAGCCACCGCGCCCGGCCACCTCCTCTTCTTACAAGGACCCCAGTCCTGTAGGGTCAGGGTCCACCCTGCTGGCCTTGTTTTCGCTACGCTCCTACTGCCTTACCCAAGAATTTGCTTTTCACAGTTTCAGTCTGAAAACGTCGGGTGGTAAATTTCAGAAGTAAACAACGCATAAACTCAGCCGGGTGTGGAATCCCTGCTCTTTGGGAAGCCGAGGCAGGAGGATCACAGAGGTCAGGAGATCGAGACCATCCTCACTCACACGGCGAAACCCCGTCTCTACTAAAACCACAAAAATCAGCCCATCGTGGTGCCGCACACCTGTCAGCCCAGGTACTCGGGAGGCAGGAGAATCACCAGGACCGGAAGGTGCGGTGAGCCGAGATCGCACCACGACACTCCAGCCTGGGCGACGGACTGAGAGTGTGTCTCAAAAAAAAAAAGCAGAGGGACATTTGGACAGAGACACCCAGAGGGGAGAAGGCCAGGCAGAGAAGTAGGCACAGACAGGAAGCATGGCGCCGTGAGCCACGCGACGCCAAGGCCTGCCAGCGGCCACCTGGATGTGGACAGAGACCAAGCCCGGCTTCTCCATCAGAACCTCTGGAAGGATCCCACAGACAACTTGACTTGTGCCTTTTGGCCTCCAGAAGTGTGGACTTTCCTGTGGGTCTTTTTTTTTTTTTTTGACATGGGGCTTGTCTCTTGCTGCCCAGGCTGGAGTGCAACGGTGAGATCTTGCCTCACGGCGACCTCTGCCTCCCGGGTTCAGGCGACTCTCCTGCCTCAGCCTCCTGAGTAGCTGGGATTACAGGTGCCCGCCAGTACGCCCATTTAAGTTTTGTATTTTTAGTAGAGATGGGGTTTTACCATGTTGGTCAGGCTGGTCTCGAACTCCTGACCTCAGGTGATCCACCCGCCTCGTCCTCCCAAAGCTCAAGTGATTCTCCTGCCTCGGCCTCCCAAGTAGCTGGGATTGCAGGCACGAGCCACTATGCCTAGCTAATTTGTGTATTTTTAGTAGACCCAGGGTTTCACCATGTTGCCCAGGCTGGTCTTGATCTCCTGACCTCAGTGATCCGCCCACCTCGGCCTCCCAAAGCGCTGGGATTACAGGCGTGAGCTGCCGTTCCTAGCCCCTTCCTGTGCCTTCAGGCCTCTCATTTGGCGGTACTTCGTGATGGTAGTTTCTGGAACTGAATCCACGCCTTCCCTCTGCCTCCCAGGTTTATCCTGGGAGTGGCTCGTCACCAGGAGGCATTGCCCGCGTCCCTCAAAGAACCTGCTGTCTTCACAGGACCCAGAAAAGGCCGAATCCCCGGCACGTGAACAGCAAATGGAACATTAGAAAAGAGAGACCCTGAACGCACTCACCACGATCGTGTCCGCTCCGATGACCACGTCTGGGGCTCGCATATCTTTCTGCAAGAAAGCCAGACCTCCATTTATTTATTTATCTGTGTACCCGAAGGTCTTCCTGCAAGAAAGCCAAACTTCCATTTATTTATCAATTTATTTATCCATCCCCAGGTCTTTCTGCAAGAAAGCCAGACTTCGATTTATTTATCTATTTATTTTTATATATCCCCAGGTCCTTCTGCAAGAAAGGCACAGTTTGATTTTTTTTTTAATCTATCTATCTATTTATTTATCATCCATCCCCAGGTCTTTCTCCAAGAAAGCCAGACTTCGATTTATTTATCTATTTATTTTTATATATCCCCAGGTCTTTCTGCAAGAAAGGCACAGTTTGATTTTTTTTTTTAATCTATCTATCTATTTATTCATCATCCATCCCCAGGTCTTTCTCCAAGAAAGCCAGACTTCGATGTATTAACTTATTTATTTATCTGCAGGTCTTTCTGCAAGAAAGTGAGACTTATAGGTATCTATCTATCTATCTATTTGGGACAGAGTCTCACTCTGTCACCCAGGCTGGAGGGCAATGGCGTGATCTCAGCTCACTGCAACCTCCGCCTCCTGGGTTCGAGGGATTCTCCTGCCTCAGCCTCTGGAGTAGCTGGGACTATAGGCACCTGCCACCACGCCTGGCTAATTTTTTTTGTTGTTTGAGACAGAGTCTTGCTCTGTCGCCACACTAGAGTACAGCGGCCTGACTTCGGCTCACTGCAGCCTCCGCCTCCCGGGTTCAAGCCAGTCTGCTGCCTCAGCCTCCTGAGTAGCTGGGGTCACAGGTGTGTGCTACCATGCCCCGCTAATATTTTTGTATTTTTAGACTTTCACCATGTTGGCCCGGCCAGTCTCGATCTCTTGACCTCGTGATCCGCCCGCCTTGGCCTCCCAAGGTCCGGGGATGATCACAGGCGTGAGCCACCTGGCAGAGTCCATGTCGTAGTGACGCACCACGGGTCTCGCAGACAGGTTGACCCGACGGTGTGGCTGTGAAACACCACCACGCCGACAAAGCCAGGCTGACCCCGGACGGTGAGGCTGGGACGCCTCAGGGCCAGGAGCAAGGACACGGGTGGATCCCCCAGGGGTCCCCTGGCAGGGGCTGGAAGGTGGGTGAGGCTGGAGCCCGCAGGGGCCGTGCGATCAGGGCTGAGAGTCGCGGAGACTCTCACAGGCGCCCCGGGAAACACGAGGTGTTCTGAGTTCTTCTTCTTTCAGGGGGCAGGGAGGGTTCCGCTTGGGGTTGACTTCAGGGCCCCACATCTCCCTGAGTTACCCTGCATTAAGGCCGGAAGGTTTTTTTTTGTTGTAGTTTTTGTTTTGAGACAAAGTGTCCCTCCTGTCCCCGAGGCTGGCTCACTGCAACCTCCGCCTCCCGGGCTCAGGCCATTCTCCTGCCTCAAGCTCCCAAGTAGCTGGAGCTGCAGGTGCCCAGCACCTCGCCCGGCTAACTTTTGTGTATTTAGTAGACATGGGGTTTCGTCATGTTGGTCAGGCTGGTCTGGAACAGACCTGACGTGATCCAGCCGCCTCGGCCTCCCCAGGCGCTGTGATGACAGAGCGAAGCCACCGCGCCCAGCCAAGGCCAAACACTTCTTGACCGGTTCAATGTAATTTCAGAAAAAGGGACTGCGGGCCAGGCGCGGTGGCTCACCCCGGCAATCCCAGCACTTTTGGAGGCCGAGGTAGGCAGATCACCTGAGGTCAGGCGTTCCAGACCAACCTGGCCAACGTGATGAAACCCTGTCTCTACCAAACCTACAAAACACTAGTCAGGCACCTGGAATCTCAGCTGCTCGGGAGGCTGAGGCGCAAGAGCCTCTTGAACCCAGAAGGTGGAGGTTGCAGTGAGCCGAGACGGTGCCACTGCACTCCAGCCTGGGCGACACAGCCAGACTGAAAAAAAAAAAAAAAAAAACAAAAGAAAGAAAAAGACAAATGTATTTATCACAATGAAACGAATCCAGGCTGACAATTCAGCCTCGGAGCTGCGTGTGTTCACAGGATATCTGCATGTCACCGTGACCTCGGCTGCCTGAGCACTGGCTTCCCTAAGCTCTGCCCTGCCAAAACTCACAATCAATATTCTTGTTATTCACAGCAGTGCTCGCCACAGCATTACCTCCAATGCATTTCTTTCTCTTTTCTTTTTTTTTTTTTGGAGATGGAGTCTCACTCTGTTGCCCAGGCTGGAGTGCAGTGGCGTGATCTCGGCTCACTGCAACCTCCACCTCCCAGGCTCAAGTGACTCTCCTGCCTCAGCCTCCCGAGTAGCTGGGATGACAGGCGTGCGCCACCACGCCCGGCTAATTTTTGTATTTTTAGTAGAGACGGGGTTTGACCACGTTGGCCAGGCTGGTTTCAAACTCCTGACGTTGTAAGCCACCCACCTCGGCCTCCCAAAGTGCTGGGATAACAGGTGTGAGCCACTGTGCCCAGCCTGCTATGGTAATTTTAGATATGATAACCGGTAGTATAGTCAATGCAGTAGTATATCACATACCATGTAGGAATCCTACGTTAATTCTGTATCCTACATGATACTCTTAGGTTCAAATAACAGTGTGTTATGATGTTAATTACATTAACTATGTTAATATATTGTGACTATTATTGTTGTTGTTTTTTAATTTTTTTTTTCTCTTTGAGATGGAGTCCAGGCTGGAGTGCAGCGGGGCGATCTAAGCCAGGCGTCCCCAAACTTTGTACACAGGGGGCCAGTTCACTGTCCCTCAGACCGTTGGAGGGCCGCCACATACTGTGCGCCTCTCACTGACCACCAATGAAAGAGGTGCCCCTTCCTGAAGTGCGGCGGGGGCCGGATAAATGGCCTCAGGGAGCCGCATGCGGCCCGTGGGCCGTAGTTTGGGGACGCCTGATCTAAGCTCACTGCAACCTCCACCTCCCAGGTTCAAGCCATTGTCCTGCCTCAGCCTTCTAAGTACCTGGGACTACAGGTGCCCACCACCTCACCCGGCTAATTTTTCTATTTTTAGTAGAGACAGGGTTTCACCGTCTTGGCCAGGCTGGTCTTGAACTCCCGACCTCGTGATCTACCCGCCTCAGCCTCCCAAAATGCTAGGATTACAGGCGTGAGCCACTGTGCCGGGCCATAATTCTATATTATAAATGATAATGTTGCATGAATTGCAATCATATATTACGCAGTGGGACAAGAATACTACTATTAATTGTGATAGACTATTACGACACATGGTAATAAACACGGTCCATTAATTATATACCATGAATGACACTATTATATTAATTACAAGAGAATATCATAACACATAGTAATAGATAAACTACATTACTTGTATATCATAAATGACACTATTACATTAACTGTAAGAGAATATCGTTTTTTTTTTTTAGTTTTTGGAGGTGGAGTCTCGCTCTGTCACCCAGGCTGGGGCGCAGTGGCATGATTGTGCCTCACTGCAATTTCTGTCTCCCGGGTTCACGCAATTCTCCTGCCTCAGCCTCCTGAGTACCCAGGATTACAAGCACCCACCACCGTGCCCAGCTAATTTTTGTATTTTTAGTACAGATGGGGTTTCACCATGTTGGCCAGGCTGGTCTTGAACTCCCGACCTCAGGTGATCTGCCCACCTCAGTCTCCCGAAGTGCTGGGATTACAGGTGTGAGCCACAGCTCTTGGCGGGAAGTGAATATTATAACACGGAGTTACAGGTAAGGTCCAGTAATTCTATGCCATAAATGATGCTATTATATCAGCTGCAAGAGAATATTATAACACCGTCATACATAAGCTCCATTAATTCTGTAACATAAATAATACTGCTGGGCACAGTGGCTCATGCCTGTCATCCCAGCACTTTGGGAGGCCAAGGTGGGCAGATCACAAGGTCAGGAGTTCAAGACCAACCTGGCCAACATGGTGAAACCCCCCCGTCTCTGCTAAAAACACAAAAATTACCCAGGTGTGGTGACATGCACCTATAGTCCCAGCTACTCGGGAGGGTGAGGCAAGAGAATGGCTTGAACCCAGGAGGCGGAGGTTGCAGGGAGCTGAGATGGTGCCACCGCACTCCGGCCTGGGCAACAGAGTGAGACTCCATCTCAAAAAAAAAAGAAAAGATACTATTAAGTCAATTGCAAGAGAATAGTATAACACACAGCAAGAGACAAGCTCCATTAATTCCTATATCATAAATGATGCTATTTTATATCAACGGCAAGAGAATATTATAGTCATAGATAAACTACATTAATTCTACATGATAAATTATGCTAGTCTATCAATTGCAAGAGATTATTATAACACATAGCAATAGGTAAGCTCCGTGAATTCTATATCCTAAACGATACTATTACGTGACTTGTAATAGCTCGTGACATTATAACGTGGTAACAGACAGGCTGCGGCACCAGCTGCATCTTGTAAATGACATTGATTTGTATCATGTATATTCAACACCTGCAAATCCCCTTTATAGCAAAGGAACTTTCTTTTTTTTGAGACAGAGTCTCGCTCTGTCGCCCAGGCTAGAGTGCAGAGGCATGATCTGTGCTCTCTGCAATATCCTCCTCCTGGGTTCAAGCAATTCTCCAGCCTCAGCCTCCTGAGTAGCTCGGATTACAGGTGCGCCTGCCTCCACGTCCGGCTAAGTTTTGTATTTTTAGCAGAGACAGGGTTTCACCATCTTGGCCAAGCTGGTCTGAAACTCCTGACCTTGTGATCCATCCCCTCAGCCTCCCAAAGTGCTGGGACTACAGGCACGCACCACCATGCCTGGCTAATATTTTGATCTGTAGTAGAGACGGGGCTTCCCCATCTTGGCCAGGCTGGTCTTGAACTCTGACCTCGTGATGCGCCTGCCTCGGCCTCCCGAAGTCCTGGGATTAGAGGCCTGAGCCAGGGTGCCCGGCCTAGAAGAGGAACTGTCACGAGGGCGGAAGGGCAGGGCCCACTTGCCTGGTGCAGGCGGTTGGCCACTTCCAGAGCCTTCTGCTTGGCCGTCTCCATGGCGTACCCGTACGGCGTGGCGAAGGCGGCTTTGTCCAGCGTCTCTTTGAACCTGGAGGGGACCACCTCAAACCGCAGACCCTGCAACAGAAGAAAGGGGTCAGGAGGGTTGATGAAAGACCCCGAGAAGACAGAACAGAACGTGCAAGGTGAGCAGGACACGTGGTATTGGCGACACTCCCCGGTCCTCTCCTGGGTGACCTCAGCCATCTGCTGAGCTTTCCCTAAGTGTGGCTGCGGGGCCTTTGGGGTCTGGCCAGGGGCCTTTCGAGACTGACAAGGGGTCTTTCTGGCTCTCCAGGGAAAAGGCTGGCAAAGGAAAAGGCCAGGAACAGAGAGGCTGGCAGGGAATGTTGACTCGGGCCCTGAACCCACGAGCCAGGCTTGTCAGAGGGTTCCTGGAGCCCGGAAGTTTGGGACAGTCAAGTAAGACCATCCTGTGCATAGAACATTCCAGAAACATGACACTGATGGCGGCTGCGGGAGGGGAGTGAAGGCCGGCGCTAGGTCAATCCCCAGTACACAGGGACACACAACACCGTCTGCGGGGAGACCTGGCCTGGAGGCAGTGACCCCCGCAGAGGCTGTGGGGTCAGGAATGATGGTGGTCACTGCCCCCAGTGCGGCTGGCCATGGCTGCCACGCCCTGCAGGACACAGGGAAATCCACATCTTGCCTCTGACTGAGCAGGAGCATGGCCATGTTGGACACACGCAGCCGTGCTGGACACACGCACCCATGTTGGACACACAGCGCCATCTTGGACACACACTGCCATCTTGGATACACGCTTCCATGTTGGACACACAGCGCCATCTTGGACACTCAGTGCCATCTTGGACACATGCCGCCATGCTGGACACACACCTCCATCTTGGACACACGCCGACATCTTAGACAGACGCCACCATCTTGGACACATGCCGCCATGCTGGACACACGCCTCCATCTTGGACACACGCCGACATCTTAGACACACGCCACCATCTTCGACACATGCACCCATGCTGGACACACAGCGCCATCTTGGATACACGCCTCCATGTTGGACACACAGCGCCATCTTGTACACACAGCGCCATCTTGGACACACACTGCCATCTTGGATACACGCCTCCATGTTGGACACACAGCGCCATCTTGGACACTCAGTGCCATCTTGGACACATGCCGCCATGCTGGACACACACCTCCATCTTGGACACACGCCGACATCTTAGACAGACGCCACCATCTTGGACACATGCCGCCATGCTGGACACACGCCTCCATCTTGGACACACGCCGACATCTTAGACACACGCCACCATCTTCGACACATGCACCCATGCTGGACACACACTGCCATCTTGGATACACGCCTCCATGTTGGACACACAGCGCCATCTTGGACACACACGGCCATCTTGGACACACACTACCATCTTGGATACATGCCTCCACCTTGGACACATGCCTCCACGTTGGACACATAGCGCCATCTTGAACACACACCACCATCTTGGACACTCAGTGCCATCTTGGACACATGCCGCCATGCTGGACACACACCTCCATCTTGGACACACGCCGACATCTTAGACACACACCACCATCTTGGACACATGCCGCCCTGCTGGACACACACTGCCATCTTGGATACACGCCTCCATGTTGGACACACAGCGCCATCTTGGATACATGCCTCCACCTTGGACACAGGCCTCCACGTTGGACACATAGCGCCATCTTGAACACACACCACCATCTTGGACACTCAGTGCCATCTTGGACACATGCCGCCATGCTGGACACACAGCCCCATCTTGGACACACATGCCAACATCTTAGACACATGCCACCATCTTCGACACATGCACCCATCTTGGCCAGACAGCGCCATGTTGGCCACAGGGCACCATTTTGCACACACAGTACCATCTTGGATATACACACCACCATGTTGGACGCACTGCACCATCTTGGACACAAGCCACCATCTTGGACACACACCACCATTTTGGACACACGGTGCCATCTTGTACGCACAGTGCCATCTTGAACACAGACTGCCATTTTAAGTTCTCTTGATTAAAAACCACCTAAATCCAGCCTAATGGCTGATGTCAGCATGAACGGAAACATTCCAGCTCTGGGATAAACGTCCTCCGACCAGAAACACACCAAGCCCAAGACAACCTCCCTTCCAACCAGAGACATGGCAACCGCACAATAAACTTCCCCTCACACGGAAACATTCCGAGCTTGCGATAAGCTCTGCCTTCCTAAACCCTTAAGCACCCTGAATCTGTAGGAGAGAACGCTCCTGGCCTAACTCTACCGGAAGCCCGCTCAGGTTTATCCTCCAAAATAAACCTGTCGATGACAGTGGGGCCACTTTTCTTGCTTCCCTCCTCTTTCTTTAACTCTTACAGTTGGTACCAAAACCTGGGACGGGTGTTGGGCAGAGACTCTCTTGCAACCCAGCAGCAGTGGGTGGCAGCAGACTTAGGCAGGAGAAATCCTGGGGATGCCAAGTTTCTTCTCAGCTTGACTATCCTCTTTTACATTTTTTTTTTCTTTTTGAGATGTAGTTTCGCTCTGTGGCCAGGCTGGAGTGCAGTGGCACGATCTCGGGTCACAACTGCCGCCTCCCGGTTAAAGGGATTCTCCTGCCTCAGCCTCTTGAGTAGCTGGGATTACAGGTGCCCACTGGCATGCCCGGCTAATTTTCATATTTTTAGTAGAAACGGGATTTCACCATGTTGGTCACGCTGGTCTTGATCTCTTGACTTCATGATCCACCCCCCTTGGCCTCCCAAAGTGTTGGGATTACGGGCATGAGCCACTGTACCCAGCTGACCGTCCTCTTGATAAAGAGGATTCTGGGTCTCTGTGTTTGGTCTGAGACGCCTACAAAAACAGATCCTCCCTCAGAGGCCGGGCGCGGTGGCTCAAGCCTGTCATCCCAGCACTTTGGGAGGCCGAGGCAGGTGGATCACGAGGTCGAGAGATCGAGACCATCCTGGTCAACATGGTGAAACCCCGTCTCTACTAAAAATACAAAAAATTAGCTGGGCATGGTGGCGTGTGCCTGTAATCCCAGCTACTCAGGAGGCTGAGGCAGGAGAATTGCCTGAACCCAGGAGGCGGAGGTTGCGGTGAGCCGAGATCGCACCATTGCACTCCAGCCTGGGTAACAAGAGCGAAACTCCGTCTCAAAAAAAAAAAAAAAAAAAAAAAAATACAGATCCTCCTGGCAGCCTCTTACCAGCCCAAACAGGTGCCAAACAATCCCACGTTCTTACATCCTTCTCCCTGGGGCTGTGTCCTCTACAGGCCTGCCAGACTTGGCTTTCAGGGGAGCCAAAAGCAAGGTGTTTAATTTGTTATTGCAACGTGGCCTGGCCCCGGTGCAAACACCATCATGACAGCTGATGGTCCGAAAATGGCACCTTTAACTCTCCAATTCCCAGGGACCTTGAGAACTTTATCACCAGGCAGGGCAAACGGCAAGAGGCTCCCTAGATTGGGGCTTTCTTCTACCCTCCCTATGTCAAAAGCGTGGACTCCTCATGACATCCTTCTTCCTTTTTTTTTTTTTTTTTTTTGCTTTTGAGATGGAGTTTCACCCCTGTCACCCAGGCTGGAGTGCAGTGGCACGATCTCGGGTCACTGTAACCTCCACCTCCCAGGTTCAAGCGATTCTCCTGCCTCAGCTTCCTGAGTAGCTGGGATTACTGGCGCCCATCACCACGCCTGGCTAGTATTGTTGGATTTTTAGTAGAGACGAGGTTTCACCAGGTTGGCCAGGCTGGACTCAAACTCCTGACCCCGTGATCCACCCCCGTCGGCCTCCCAAAGTCCTGGGACGGCAGAGGTGAGCCACCACACCCGGTGACATCCTTCTTTTTTGGAGACAGAGTCTCGCTCTGTCACCCAGGCTGGAGTGCAATGGCACAATGTCAGCTCACTGCAACCTCCACCTCCCGGGTTCAAGCAGTTCTCCTGCCTCAGCCTCCCAAGTAGCTGGGATGAGAGGCGTGTACCACCATGGCCAGCTAATTTTTTTGTATTATTAGTAGAGATGGGGTTTCACCAAGTTGGCCAGACTGGTCTGGAACTCCTGACCTCATGACCCACCCGCCTTGGCCTCCCGAAGGGCTCGGATTACAGGTGTGAGCCACCGGGCCCGGCCGCATCCTTTTTCTTAATGAAAACTGTCCACAGGTCTCTCCTTCCTTGGAAATCTCTTCCGCCCAAACCCCCTTTGGCCCTGCAGATAAACTCGCTCTGTACTGTCAACCCCTGCATCCGTTCCTCACCCATCGTCACCCTCCGCCCCCTCCTGCCGGCAAGCCTTTAGCCCCAGGCCTCGCCTCCCGCCTTTGCCATCCGAAAATGCTCCAAGGAGTCCAAGCTCGCCTGCCCTTCTCGCGGTCTGGGAGGTGCCTCGGGCTGAAGGCAATGCTTGCTGCCTGCACATTCTCCAGGTCTGACTTATCACAGATCAAATAGCTCCTGAGATCATCCTCTGAAAATCCCTCTCGTCATCGGCCCCCGTGGCGCGTGTATAAGGGACCCTAAAATACCTTCCGGTGGCCTGGCACTCCTCGAGACAACAGAAAAGGCACCACAATTCCCGTTTTGGGAAAAACCTGTTTTCCTTATGGAACTGCTGGAATTAAAAATCAATAACTGGCCGGGCGAGCTGACTCACGCCTGTCATCTCAGAACTTTTGGAGGTGGAGGCGGGTGGATCACCGGACGTCAGGAGTTCAAGAGCAGCCTGCCCAACATGGTGAAACCCCACCTGTACTCAAAATACAGAAGTTAGCCGGGTGTGGTGGTGGGCGCCTATGGTCCCCAGCTACTCGGGAGGCTGGGGCAGGAGAATCGCTTGAACCCGGGGGGCGGAGGTTGCAGTGAGCGGAGATTGTGCCATTGCACTCCAGCCTGGACGGTTAGAACGAAACTCCATCTCAAAATAAGTAAATAAAAATAAGTAAGTACTTCTCAAAAATCTGTCTGTCTTCCAGCTGTACTTGTTACAAGCCCTGGAAACTGTCTCCCTAGCCCTGTTCTTAAAGGCCTCACTCACC